TTTTTTTTTTTAGCAAAGCTACTAAACTAGTTAGAGAAGTCTAGGGAGAGTATACTGTTGAGTTTTTTCCTCAAACATTATTAGCCTTAGAGAAGCTAAGATGCTGGATAAGGGCAAATTGGCAAGGTAGGCACAACCGAGTGATGTGCAGAGAGAGGAAGGAGAGGGTTGGGCATGACCTCCCAGAATTCACATTTGGTTGCCAAGTAAGTAGAAAAAGATTAATGAACCCAGAGACAAGAAGGAATAAGTCAGCACACTGTAAAACCAGTGAAGATCAAAAGACAATTTCAGTAACGGGGAAAGTGTTGGAGAGGTGGAATCATTAGAGGGTGTGCCCAGAAAGGGAGATTTCTGAATTAGTCTTGGATATAAAACAGTTTCAATTCAAGAGCGTCCGAATGTCTGTGGATGACAGAGATGTAGGCAAGTAATGAAGAAACTGAGAGTAGAAAGGCAGTTCATCATGTAAGGTGTTAAAGTGTGGCAGCGAAAAATTTCTTAAAGGCTTGGGTGTGCCTGCAAGATGCTGATACTTGTAGCGTTTTGTGCTAGAGTGGCTCAGTCAACTATGCTTTGTCCAGAGCCCATAATAATGGTCTCGTATCATGTATTACATAGCAGAGACCATTTGGCAGAGACTGCTTTATATGGTTGAAAATAAAATTCCACTGGCGTGAAAGTTTTCATCTTTTACAGAACATAAATACTTTTATATGTATGCCTGTTAGCTGCTTAAATAGAAATTTAGCTTTGTCCCAGACCTGTGAATTTGGAAGAATTGATACTGAAATTGTCTTTAATTTTTTAAATTTTTATTTCAATAGCTTTGGGGTACAAGTGATTTTTTGTTACGTAGATGAATTATACAGTGGCGGTGAATTCTGAGATTTTAGTGTACCCATCACACTAGTAGTATACGTTGTACCTAATGTGTAGCTTTTTAAAATCTCTAGCCCCAACCTCACCCTTCCCCTTCTGAGTCTCCAAATTCTGTTATATCACTGTGGATGCCTTTGCTTACCCATAGCTTTAGATCCCACTTGTAAGTGAGAACATAGGGATTTTGGTTTTCCACTGTTACTTCACTTAGAATACTGACCTCCAGCTCCATCCAAATTGCTGCAAAAGACATTATTTTCTTCCTTTTCGTGGCTGAATAATATTCCACAGTGTAGCTATAACACATTTTCTTTATCCCCTCATTAGTTAATAGGCACTTAGGTTGCTTCCACATCTGCAATTGTGAATTGTGCTGCTATAAACAAAACGCATGCTAGTGTTTTTTTCATATAATGTGAAATTGTCTCTAATTTTAATTTTTGTCTTCAAAACAAGTTTTTGCCCTGTTTACCTCTATAATTTCCATTTTCAAAAAAAAATGTAAATGGAAGAAATGTGGCTATTTTGGCATAGCCATTAAAAATGGTAGTTATTAGGATCAAGCCCTAATGTGTGAAAAGCCTAATAAATGCTAAATGTCTTCATTTTATTTATGACATGTTAGTTTATCTTCTAATTGTAATAATTTTCCTCTTATTTCAAGGTGTTTATAGAAACTAGTCAGAGCTATAACCATTTTCTTGTGACCCAGTTTTTTCTGTGTGTGTAAGCTTATTGCTTTATTTGATGTTTTGTTTTGGAAACACTTGACCCGTCAAGTCTAGAAATAGTTTTTTCATATTGTTAAATCATGTTTAAAGAGTTCACAGTAACAGGCTTTTTATAAATGGAAACAAGTTTGTTGCTGTCAGTAATAACCAGTATTTCTCTGGGAACTTAAATATGTAGCTAGAAATTTTGGTCAGAGAATTAAAAGTGAGTCATTGGATTTCTGTTGCCTTTTCTTTGATGCTAGGAAATGTCACCATGCACCACTGCTTTTTTATGCTCTGTATAATTAAGAAATAATGTCTGTGTCAGAGCCTCCTTACATTTGACTCCATGGTGATCTCATTTTTTTCTCTGAAACACTGGAGAATAAAATTAGGACACTTTGGATTTTTTTCCTCCTCTTTTCCTTTTACTCAATTTCTTCAAGTATTGAAGGTCAGATTATAAAATAATTTATCATTCTGATGCAGAACTATCAGCTGAGTGAGATAAATGCATTCTTTTTAATGTGCATTTTCTTAAATCCATTTCCATCAGAAACTAGAGCTTATATATATATATTTTTTAAATATATTTCTACACTGAGAAACTACTAATAATTATTATGGCATATCTACTTAAAAAACCATAGGTTTTAAAGAAACATGCAATACACTTAAGAAACAGCAAAATGAAACTGGATGCTGTGACTCATGCCTGTAATCCTAGCACTTTGGGAGGCTGCGGTGGGAGGATCACTTGAGGCCAAGCATTTCACAACCAGCCTAAGTAACAAATCAAGATGCTGTATCTAAAAAAAAAAAAAAAGCAAAGCCAAACAAAAATAGCAAAATGAGTTGGATACACTTAAGTAGTAGTTGTTTTTGCAGTTTTCAACCAAATTTATTCATGCTTTTACATTAGCTGAAAAAAAAAAAAAAAGAATATGATTTTTGGTCTGTGTCTATTATATAGTGATGACTTACATCTTTTTAACTTGATGATAATTTTCTAATTTTCCTTTTGTTCAGTGATATTGGGATTGGCCAATCTCAAGATGACAGCATAGTAGGGCTAAGGCAGACAAAGCACATCCCAACTGCATTGCCTGTCAGTGGAACCTTATCATCCAGTAATCCTGATTTATTGCAGTCACATCATCGCATTTTAGACTTCAGTACTACTCCTGGTGAGTACCACCAACACTTCTTTTGTTTTCTTACAGTTATCTTTTTATTTCTAACATAATGCTCATGTTATATATATATATATCTTTTCATTTGGCATGGATTATATTAGATGCTGAGTAAGGAAGAACCTTAAATTTCAAGATTCTTGAAACCAGGTGTTGGAAGTTCTCTTTATATCCAGCAGACTATTTTTATATGGCCGTAGGCAAATTATCTCTCTGAACTTGTTTCTTCTTTCATAAAATGAAGATAACACATCCCATGCCATAATTACTAAATCATATCAAATAAGTGAAGAGGCATATTTTAGTTCAACTTAATGGATTTTTCAATATAATAAAGATTAACTCTGGATTTAAATTTTCTGTCTTTGAATCCAGCATGACAGTCTTGTGTGCTACTGTTGTGTACTGATGTGCTTGCAGCTGTCTGTAGATCAACCTTTTATCTTTAGGGAAAGGTGTGTTCTTGCAGCAAAACAGCATTTAGGTTGACTGATTCTTTGAGGAAGATCTAGAGTAAGGTAGAGGTAAAAGTTCAGCATTGCCTTCTCTAGGGAGCTTTTTCCCCATTACTTTGCTTAATTGCATTGCCATATATTAAAATTCTTTCTACTTATGTGTGACTTTTCTTTCTACCAGACTTACCAGATCAAGTGCTAAGAGTTTTTAAGGCTGATCAGCAAAGCCGCTACATCATGATCAGTAAGGACACTACAGCAAAGGAAGTGGTCATTCAGGCTATCAGGGAGTTTGCTGTTACTGCCACCCCAGATCAGTATTCGCTATGTGAGGTCTCTGTCACACCTGAGGGAGTAATCAAACAAAGAAGACTTCCAGATCAGCTTTCCAAACTTGCTGATAGAATACAACTGAGTGGAAGGTATATATTATCTGCCTTACTGGATTTCTTTATCCCCTCTTCAAACCCACATCAAAGTTTAAGAGAGGAGCAATTTCAAAGTGTTTTTTAAATGAGTAAATGCCTCTGCAGATTTAAAAATAGTTGTTGTTTTTTTTCCTTTCACCAAGAATTATTGAATGAAAGTAAATGCACACAGTCAACTACTGACCCTAACAACGCTCTCTTAGGAACTTGTTCAAGGGCACTGTGACCTGAAGGTTGTTAATGACTGCCAAAATCCATGCTGGAACTTCTCATGCTTGCCTTAGGGTCCTGGTTTGGAAGGGTAGAGTAAGCTTGATGTAAAGTCACAGCGTGGGTTTAAAGTCACAGTATTAAGCCCTTTACTTGGATACGTACATTCACAAACACATTTTCTAATCATATTCTAGTGTCATTTGCTCCTGCATACCCAACTTTTCTAGGAGCTTCCATAGTTTAGGCAGAGACATGTATGACAGTATGGTTGTCCAGTACTGCCTTTTATATGTACATTATGCTATGAAATACACTTCTTAACTCTGAAATCAAACTTTAGTTGCTACAGAGCTTAGTCCTTTGCTGCATAAGTGCTTATATCATACGTTACTTGCAAGAAAATGTTATATCTGATTTTATAATTCTCTTCAATGATACTTTCATTGTTAGGTGAATGTAACTTTATCTTCATGTCACAATAAGTGAAAGTTGAAAAAGAAAATAGTTGTTTTCTACACTGAAAATTAAGCAGTTCCATAAATCGTATTCTATTTTTCTTAACTTAGGGTGTTTCACTGTATTTGACTTTTTCATATTACAGGGTTAAACCAGGATATAATTCATTCAAAACTTTTATTTTCTTTCCATCAACTATATCTTTCTTATTCCTCTTCACTTTTACTTTCAAACGCTAGGAAATAGTTTTAATTGCTCTGTTTTTTCCAGTTATCATTTCAATGCACATTGATATATCTGGAACAGTGATGGAGTTCTACACATCTCCACTGAGCTATAGATTCATGATTCACATAAATTATTGAAGAAAATTATAGATGGGTATGTCATGGGCTTCATGAGTAATCAAAATGGAGAATGTTAAATCTGTGAAAATCAAGGGCACAAAGTATATATTTTCTGTCATAGGTGTTTGCCTTGGTGAAATGTACAAAAGCCATTTAGCAGGGCCCCTACTGTGCTCATTCTGTGTTTTCATTTGTGGAATTTCACAGAAAAAATCATGTGTCTAAAAAAAAAAAAACCAAAAACAAAAAACACCACACACACACACACACACACACACGCACGCACGCACGCACACGAGACAAACATCTTAATGCTGTTTTCAACAAATTGCCTAAAAGGAGAAGGCACCAGAGCCCTATGTGTTCTCATTTTTGCTCTGGCATTAACTAGTCATTAATCTTTAGGTTCTTGTTTCCTATTCTGACAAATAAGTATAATACTTACCATCCACTTACCTGTAGCGTTTTTGAGAAAACCCAGATTTTTTAAAGTTACTCAGTTGTAGGATTGTTTTACTCATAGGATCAAATAGAGAAAAGTAGTTTAGGGTTTCTTAGGTATTTGAATAAATAAGTAAGCCTGGATTGTTACCATTTGGGCCCACCAATAATCAGATTATTGGGAAAATAAGAGTGATTGCCTACCTGCATCTAATCTTTTCTGCTTCCTGCCTTAGGGTCTAAATCCTTTTTAAACTAAAAATGTGGCGATTTTCTGTTATTTTTAGCAAAAAGGGTAAAGCACTTCAGAAAACAGGAAAAGAAAGGAGAAAAAGAAAGTCCAACTGGTAAAAGTGAAATTCCATGTGATTTGTTTGTTTCTTACGCCTGCTTCTGGATAGACAGTTCTGTGACCTGGTAACTGAGACAGCAGCTGCACTCTCTGTCTTGGTTGAAAAGAATTCTTCCATCATTCAAATTAGTGTTCTCTCAAACTTTCTGCAAAAAGTAGCATTATTCTTTCAAGGAATATCATGAGATTGCTGCTTAGGCTTTGACTCCGGTATGTTTGTTTTTTATAGGTATTATCTGAAAAACAATATGGAAACAGAAACTCTTTGTTCAGATGAAGATGCTCAGGAGTTGTTGAGAGAGAGTCAAATTTCCCTCCTTCAGCTCAGCACTGTGGAAGTTGCCACACAGCTCTCTATGCGAAATTTTGAACTCTTTCGAAACATTGAACCTACTGAATATATAGATGATTTATTTAAACTCAGATCAAAAACCAGCTGTGCCAACCTGAAGAGATTTGAAGAAGTCATTAACCAGGAAACATTTTGGGTAGCATCTGAAATTCTGAGAGAAACAAACCAGCTGAAGAGGATGAAGATCATTAAGCATTTCATCAAGATAGCACTGCACTGTAGGGAATGCAAGAATTTTAACTCAATGTTTGCAATCATTAGGTAAGAGAGCATACTTTTCTTAAGATTCAATTGAGTTCACAGATTTAAAATATATATCAGTCCAGGAACATCATATAATTAGTATAAATGCAGTAGGTTTTAGTTGACTCATAAGGGACAATTCTTTTTCTCTGAATCCTAACCTTAATCCTTAATTTAAAATCTCTCATATTAAAAAAACAGCTGTGCCAAGCTGAAGAGATTTGAAGAAGCCATTAAGCAGGAATCATTTTGATAGCATCTGAAATTCTGATTTGGAGCTCAGAAAATCTATATCCCCCACTTTTTTTTTTTAAAGTTTGTTTGAACTTTTCTCAACATCAGTTTATTTTTTGGTGGAACTAACAATACCCCAAAGAGTTCTCAACAAGATTAATGATATAATGCATGTGGACCAGCAAATAGCACAAAGCAGATGCCCAGAAAATGTTAAATTTCTTCCCTTTCTAAAGCTTAGATTGAGGCTAGAAGGAAAAAAAATGGCAACAATTAGTTATATTGATGTTGAGGGTGATTATTAAATTAGTAATCTTCTCTGTCTGGTAGTCATACTCTCATTACTATCATAGCTTTTGTTTTATTACTGGAGGATATTTACCCAGTGTGTTTATCAAATGGCTGGCATGGGCTAAGTACTGCTATGTGTACATACTGCTATGTATGGAAACAGAACATCAGTACTTATATTCTGGTGGCTTTGCTTATAGTAAAAAGATGAGATGTGCCTGTAGGGAAGAGAAGAGTAAAACACCTTGGCCTGACCCTGACCCTACTTCCCTGTGCCATCTCATTCCCCCGAATTGTCATAAACAGTTTCTTATGCAGCCTTCTGTAAATTGTTATGCATATAAAGCATAAACACAGAGGTGTTTTGTGTCAGTAAATAATCTGTACACTAGTTTACTCTGTTTCACTTTAGTTGTTATACCATGTTTCTTTTTCCCCTCTCAGTGGCCTAAACCTGGCACCAGTGGCAAGACTGCGAACGACCTGGGAGAAACTTCCCAATAAATATGAAAAACTATTTCAAGATCTCCAAGACCTGTTTGATCCTTCCAGAAACATGGCAAAATATCGCAATGTTCTCAATAGTCAAAACTTACAACCTCCCATAATCCCACTATTTCCAGTTATCAAGAAGGATCTCACCTTCCTTCACGAAGGTAAACATAAGGCACAGAGTTTCCTTCTTCGCTTGGAGAAGCACAGAATAAATGCCATGTGATTTCCTTTTTCTCCTGTGTCAATTTCAGGAAATGACTCAAAAGTAGATGGGCTGGTCAATTTTGAGAAGCTAAGGATGATTGCGAAAGAAATTCGTCACGTTGGCCGAATGGCTTCAGTGAACATGGACCCTGCCCTCATGTTCAGGACTCGGTGAGTATGTCATCTTCAGTGGCATGCGTGAGAGTAGAGAAGGTTAAATTTAGAGTTTCCCAATAAATGATTTTTTTTTTAAAGTTGAGTATTTATATTTGAAGTATGGCAGAAATTATTGTAGCATGTGCTGAGAATCACCTGTGAGCTCTAATTTGGAATAAATGTCTTATTCTGTATAAAGTGTACTTTTGGCTTTCAGTAAAAACAGTTTGTCCTTCAGACATTTTCAGTTTAATAGTCTCAATTATATGTTTCTTGTTTTTCAGAACACCGACTTAGAGAGCTAAAACTCATAACTAGTCGTATGAACTAAAATATGTAAATAACCCAAATAGTCTTGTCTCAATATCCACACAACAGATTTAGCTATCAGTGTAGTAAAAAATCATTAATTCAGTGAAAGGAAGAAAAGTCAATCTTAATTCTAGAACAAAAGAATTAAATGTATTTGTCTTTTAAGCCAGAAAAATACTTCTAGTAAAGTTGTATGTGTGAGATAATTATGCAGTTTAATGTTTGTGGGCTTCTAGAACTGCTTATTCAGAAGTCTAGTCCTTTCTTTCTGAGCTTGTGATCTTTCTGTCTCTCTTTCTACACCCATGCTTCAATCTCCATGGCTCTCACTTACAGGAAGAAGAAATGGCGGAGTTTGGGGTAAGTGGTGGAGACCTTGCATACCCACACACAGTTCTTATTCTGCTCATTGCATTGTTTCCTTACCTGTTGTATTTTCTGATGCTTTGCATTTTTGCATTTTTTTCCTTAACGCTCTTGCTCTAGCAGAATTTCAGATGGCAAACTGACTTCATGTTTAATTTGTTGGGCCTTTGCTTTTGAAGTCATGATCCATGAGAGCTGTGAAATGATTGATGATTGTTCTGGGGAACTATAGGCCAGTATTTCTGAGCTCTTAGTTTTTATTTTAATATAATTGGTGTGTCTTGAAATGTGGAAAATTCAAAGTAGGGGGAGGGGAGGAAGGACATTAGAAGGAAAAATTGTGCAATTAAAGTATTTCACAAATATGTGAGAAATAAATATATTTAATATAACATAGGTGCCCCCAGGTGTTAAAACCAAATTTTTTACAGCTCAACTAACTACTGTTTTCATTCTATATAAACCAATCCTTATTAAAAATAACTCTTAACAATTCATGTGCTCAGTAGTTTTCATACATATGTGTTTACATTTGCATGATTGTTTTATTAACAGATTGACCATATTACTTTAAAAACTCACCACATTCACCTCAAGGAATTAGAAGGCAATTGTGAACATTGTAGCTAGTTTTATTTAAATCTGTGTATAATATCCTCTTTAGGAGAAGTAATTTTAATGTTGTAAATCTTAATGATTATAGCTGTGTATTCTTGCATGAGCTTTTATATGCAATTATTACTTTCTGGCATCTGTGAGAGAATGGCCTTAAATGCCTAGTAGAGGTGAAAAGTAGAATTTCCTAGTTGGAACTGAACAGGTGCCAAACATATATTTTTATATATGTTTTATGTATACATCTCTTTTAACTAAAATAATTTTTTAAATCTATATTATCCTATATTCCTGTGTAACAGTTTACTCACTGGAATGAGGCATGTGACCTTTTGAACATAGAATATTAATATAATCTTGGCACGTTTTAAATAAAGTACTCCTATACTAGAGTGAGCTGCATATCTACCTTTTCATCTTCCAGGTCTCTCAGCCAGGGTAGTACAAATGCAACAGTGCTAGATGTTGCTCAGACAGGTGGTCATAAAAAGCGGGTACGTCGTAGTTCCTTTCTCAATGCCAAAAAGCTTTATGAAGATGCCCAAATGGCTCGAAAAGTGAAGCAGTACCTTTCCAATTTGGAGCTAGAAATGGATGAGGAGAGTCTCCAGACATTATCTCTGCAGTGTGAGCCAGCAACCAACACATGTGAGTTTTTCCTTAAAGTGGCTGCAGACTTTGGCTAGAATGCAGATTTGTTTCCTGTGCAGTGATATGGGCAGTGACAAAATAAAGCTTAGTGCAAAGGGGTAGGGAGCTAGCAATCCTGAGATATACTGGTCTTTCCCTTGGATGCTAATATTGAATACTGAGTAGCACTGTGCACAGCCAGGCCCTTGTGTCTACTGGGTTAGTGTGTGGAGGATGACAATGTCCACTAACTAAACCATTGCTTTAGTTTCACCCGGACACAGCCAGTACACACATGGGGACACATATGTAGATATGATTCCCATTTATATGTCTTGTGTTCTCAAAAGATGCCCCCAAAGTATGGGCAACATGAGGGAAGTTGGGGCATAAAATTGGATGTGCTCGCTGCCTTTTAACCACTAGCCCAGACAACACCCAGCAACAAATTCAGCTACCGGTTAGATAGAGCAATAATTCTGCTCCAAAGTGAACCACGGTAGCCTTTAAAAATCTGAATAGTGTATAAATGGGAGAGTTTTTTTCTAAATCTACATCTTGACTTATAAGACAAAAATATTTTTCATTCAGTACGCTTTGTGTCTTTTATGGGCAGATTTGAAGATGCCTTTTAGAGAATTTAATTTAGATAGGTGATTTTAGAAGATTTGGATTATTAGATTTACACAGGACACTATAGAAGCATTGTGTCATGGTGAAGAGCTTGTCCTCTGGAGTCAGAGTGGTCTGAGTTCAAATCCTGTTTGTTTCCTCTTACTAGCAACGCAGCCTTAGGCAAGTTACTTGACCTCTCTAATCCTTAGCTTCCAGGTGTGGAAGAGAGGAAGCATACATATGTCATTGAGTTTTGAGTATTAAGATACTACATATACAACATTTAATTGTCCTAAATTGGTTTGCCATCTATCACAAAATATATACTCAGTATAATACTCAAGCATTATTGGCTACTATTTGCTTGCATAGATAATTCTACCTTCTAGGAATGTGGTAGTAAATAGATTGCAGTTGACAGCATTTGTTAAATAAAAACTTAGCACACATATGTCAAACAATTTTGGACACCGTTTTAGAAAAATAGTGCCTGATGATTTTTCCGTTGTAGCTTTTATCACATATTTGTATCTTTCATATACGTGCATATTACATATTGAACTAACCACATTTTTCTTTATTTTTAATGGGGTGTTTAATAGTATAATCATCTCTTGAGATTGCTGATTTCATAAAGTAGATACCTTTGTCCTGCCACGTATCTAATATTTTCTGTAACCAGGGGCCCCCATCCATTTCTGTGCTTCATAAAGGCAAGAGGAAGAAAGGTGTGCATTTCAGTATTCTAGCTGCAGGAAATGCTCACATAGTTCTAAAGTTATCTTCTGTATACCTGCTAGCATCTAAAATTCTTTGTTCTGTTTTCAAACCCAAACAACTATCAGTGCCTAAGAATCCTGGTGACAAAAAGCCTGTCAAATCTGAGACCTCTCCAGTAGCTCCAAGGGCAGGGTTACAACAGAAAGTTCAGTCCCTGCCACAGCCCCAGCAGCAGCCACCACCACCACATAAAATCAACCAGGGGCTGCAGGTTCCCGCTGTGTCCCTTTATCCTTCCCGGAAGAAAGTGCCCGTAAAGGATCTCCCACCTTTTGGTAAGTGATTAAATTCATTTCTTTTTTTGGTGCCATTCACTGTCGTGGTTTGCAAATTAGGAGAAAATAGTTGTCTTGGATAAGTTGTCTAATATGCTTGAGCTTCTCTGTAATTTTTAGCTCCTAATAAAAAATGAATTCTCAGCAAGTTAAACCTGACTTTGCCAATGGAAGGGGTTGTTTTTATAAGTAATATCTCATTTAATTGTGCTCATTTGCTATGATGGGGTGTTAATAGAGAAGTTATGTGTCTATTTAATTTTTGATGAGTGCAGAGGATGCTTTGTTCATATACATTATTTAAACTGGTTTTGCCTTATGACCAATGAACTGCTTGGATTTAAGCAGAATATTTTTAAGTTAAATGAATTGCCTGCAGGTAAATTCTTATTTGTTGACTCACTGATTCTGTAACTTAGGGGGAAAAATTAAACAACTAACTCCTGAATGTTAAGGAGCTAAATTACACAATCTTTTCTATTAAAAGAAAAATATCTAGTAGTTTAGCCCCTTTGTGTAAGTGGTATAATGCAATAATTTTTCATAAAGTGTACAGCTTCTTTTTTTCTACATATATGTGAATGAAACAATTAATAAAAAATAAATTGTTCAAAATAAAGGGATAGCAGGCCAGGTATGGTGGCTCATGCCTGTAATCCCAGCACTTCAGGAGGTTGAGGCAGGTGGATCACTTGACGCCAGGAGTTGGAGACCAGCTTGCCTAACATGGCGAAACCCCGTCTCTACTAAAAATACAAAAATTAGCTGGGTGTGATGGCTCATACCTGTAGTCTTGGTTACCTGGGAAGCTGAGGCACAGTAATCACTTGAACCTGGTGGGTGGAGATTGTAGTGGGCTGAGATTGCACCATTGCACTCCAGCCTGGGCAACAGAGCAAGACTCTGTGATTGATTGATTGATTGATTGATAGATAGATAGATAGATAGATAGATAGATAGATAGATAGATAGATGGCAAAGAGTTTACTTAAACAAAATTAGATTTTTATAGCTAAGTCCCTGCAGTTACAGCCCATCTGCATGGCTTGGGTGAGAGTCATTTGATAGACCCCTCACATACTCTCTATCCTTGCCTCATTCCATCTGATCAGCAAGTGTCCTCTTTATTGAAATTAGGGGAGAGTAAGAAAAGAACACCTTTCCTCGCTACATTTCTCCTTTCAAATGTTTGTGTTGATCCCCTTATTACAAACACACTGAATTATGTTTTTCTGTATAGATTATGTTGTTAATCTGTATGCGTTCCTGAATCCCCTGCAGTCTGACTTCTGCATCCTCTTTATGCAGACCTTCTTATATGGAAGATTATCAGTCTTTCTTTTAGCTGAAAATAGCCTATTAGCCATATTTAATATAATGTAGATGTGCCTGAGTATAAAGCTCTATCCCCCATGTTTCTGAAGCGATAGTTCTCAAAATGTCTTCAGTTCCATTTATTAACTTTAGAAATGTGGATGAAATATTATACATTGTCTTATATTTATTTAGTTTAACATACACATTTAAAGTCACAGTATATAAAATACTAATTTAGAGATGCTGCAGGTGTTCTCCCCACTCCAGTTCATGAAACAGTTTTGTTCTATATACTTTGTACATCTTTAATGTTGGTGTCTTCGTCCTCACTAGGACCACTTTTATAAAGTACCTAACACAGCTTTCTCAGGCATAACATCTTCACATCCATCCACATGGTTGAAAGAGCACTTTTTGAATCTGTGTGTAATACTGAGCCTGGAAATTTTTTCCAGATCAAAACGACTCATTCAGTTAGCTTTGTTTCCTGTCTATACGATTTCTACATGTAATCAAAGTACTGCTTTAAACATTTTTTTAAAAGATTGTATTAAGACAACATCAAACTGCTTACATGAGGTGAAATGAAGGATTAAATCTGTTAAATTTTATTGACTAACACTAATTTGAGGTAGTTTCAGGCTGTAGTGCCTTCCCAAATATCTCTTTGTTGTTCAAAATAAAATTGAGAGTGTCTCATAATGTGAGAGGCCTTGTAAAATATTTTAATGTAACTTCCTCATTTCTGAAAAATAATTTCGAGGAAGGAAACCATCTTATATTGGTATATATAATTATTTTTCCTCCACTCTTATCCTGTTGGATCCTACACATGGTCCTGGCTAACTTCCTTCTTCTGAAACCTTCTTCCATGGTTTCTGTGTCACGGCACTTTCATGGTCTCTTCCGTCCTCCATCTATTTACTTGATCAAGTATTCACTACATGGAATCCCTTAGGGCCTTTCATTCAATTTCCTAGTTAGCTCTTCCCAGCTCTTGACCCTGTACTCGTCTCCCTTTATTCTCACTTCCCCAGAGCTATCCCATTCCAAGGAAACAAAACT